GGAACAGGCTGCCCAGAGATGTTGTGGAGTCAAGAAAGTATCTGGAGACTTTAAAAACCTGCCTGGATGGGTTCCTGTGTGGCCTGCCCTAGGTGATCCTGCTCTGGCAGGAAGGCTGGTGAAATACTGGAACAAATTGCTCAGAGAAGTGGTGGAGGCCCCATCCCCGGAGACATTCAAGGTCAGGCTTGGTGGGACTCTGAGCAACCTGATCTAGTTAAAGATGTCCCTGCTCACTGCACGTTGGACTAGATGACCTTTAAAGGTTCCTTCAAGCCCAACATGTTCTATGATTCTATTGAGGGCGTATCATTTTTCTCTATTCTTCCAGCTAGTTTGCTCAGGACAAAACAGCAGTTTGATCAATAACCACATGAGGCTGCTGGAAGCTAGGACTGGATCCAGCACTGAACTCCTTCTTGGGTCCTAGGCCTAGACTCCAAGGGAGAAACAAATTTAGGGGAAAGCCACACAAGAACACAAACTGCATTTGCTCCACTAGCAAACACAGAGAGTTCTAGCCTACACGGTTGTCCAAGGCAAACTGCTGAGACTCTGCTAACTAAAAATAACCCCAGGTTACCATAGCTTCAAACAGCAGGCACAGCAGTGAGAACTGGTGAATTAGCAAACACGGACAACCGTGTAGGCTAGAACTCTCTAAGGCAAACTGCTGAGACTCTGCTAACTAAAAATAACCCCAGGTTACCATAGCTTCAAACAGCAGGCACAGCAGTGAGAACTGGTGAATTTACCTTCACGTTGTTCTTTGTATCCAGGCCTTTCATGAAACTTGACAAGCTGTTGAGAAATCGATCTCCAGAACTTCCCTGCAAACAGCAAGAGACAGTTACTTCCCCACTGAGTACTCTTGTTCATGTCCTGGAGCCTAGCAGGGATGACACTATGTTTTTTACAGCTCTAACACTTTTCTTTCCATTCTGAATCCTGTATCTGCCAAGCTGAAGGTGGTACGAAGGCCAAGAAACCGCCTTTCCTTCCTGCAGTTGCAGTGGTAAGAGAGCTCAGCCTTAGACTTGCTTTTTTCTCCAGCAATAAGTATTAACCATGGTTGTAGGCAACCTTCAAAGATGTTGCAGCCCACAGGCAGTCTCAGAAGACAACGGCGGCCCAAACTCTCTTCTGAGCCAAGGCAGACCCAGTGCAGGAGCTCTCCACTGAGGTTTTGAAGGAGATCGCAACCACTTGTTACTTCTCTGACACATCCTGCCCCATCCTGCCACAAAACACTCAGAGATGTCTGTAATCTCCTCTGACTTGCAATTGGTGTTGGGCAGAACCTACATCAGTAATGTCTGTGGTGTAAGCCTCAGACAAGCAGATCTTCAAGTCTTCTACCGCTCTCAGACACCAGCCTGGGAGACCCAAGCTTAGAAGCAATGGGGAAGAGCCACTGGACACAGCTAACATACACATGCTCATTGTTTTATGGCTTTAAAGCCATCTCCCAAGTAACAGCTCTCTGACATTAGTGCATCCTGGATTTGCGGGGGACAGCAGCTCACCTGTGCTAGTTCCAAGATTTTCTTCACTTGTTTAATGGCATCTGTGACTTCATGGCTTGGTGGAAGCATGAGGGAACTGCTGGCTCCCAAGGAAAAACCACCATACCTGAAAGTACAAATAAAAAGTGATGCTAAGATCTGAATACTCACTGACTTCCAGAAAATGGCACTCCTCCGTCCCCAGATGTCTTTTCCTCCTGCACTATATCCAAGGCAAGCGTCTCCACTTACACAAAGATGGCCTTGATTTTCCTACACTGCTGCTTAGCTATGATGCCTGCTACTTAGCTAAGACGTCTCCCACTCCCCATGTTATTGCTGTCACAGTGCTGTTCCATTTAACCAATGCATCTATCCTCTGGTGCAGGCAAAGCAGGACACCTCTTTGCTTCTCTTGCTTGGAAGGATAGCAACTCCCAAGATGGAGTATCAGTAGGCTAGTCCTGCAAATCTTTTCAAGTTAAAACTACTCTCTGCATATGACAGGAATACTCTCCAGTGATGTGCTCTGCAGTTCATCCTTAAATATGCTCCCTCAATATTTGACAGTTAAGAGTAATGCAAAACGAACTGCGAAGCTGGGGTGGGTCTGTCTAGCTTAACACAGTGCTCATGAGTTAGTGGACACATGCAAGCTAGACAAAAGGCAGTAACTCACCTGAACTCATTCACCCAGATCTTATTCTTTAAGCTGCAGAGACAGAAAAGAAAGCCAATGTATAATACATGGAAAAGAGCAGAGACAGATCTATCTGTGCTGCAGGCACATGGCCAGGGAAAAAAGTGCACTGGCCTCTCACATCTGGCATATGTCCTACCACTCTTCCTCACAGTAATCCCTAGGGCTGGTGCTTAGACTTTCCCCATACTCGGCTTACAAGGCTCAGACATCCCCCCTCAAAGCTGCCACAGCATCACTAATAAGGCAGAAAAAAACGCTTGAGCCATGGATAAGGAGGGTCTGAGGAGCTGAGTGAGTCTAGCTTACTGCTGAAGAGTTTGGGTTACCCAAACTCTTGCTGCTGATCTGTGCAGCATCCCATATACAGCAAGCAGCATTTGGTGGCGTGGGAAGCAAGAGCAGAGGGTTTGTTCAACAGCTACCTTTTCCCAATGATTTGTGCGTAGGTCTTCACTAGGTAATCGGATATATTGCGGCCTGTCAGATTCTGGAGGATGTCAGCAGTGTCTTGCTCACGCTGCCATTATTAGGGAAGATACAGAGAAACAGAGACGCTGAGTCAAACAAGCTGCGTGCAGTGCTGCATGCAAAAATCACACCCTGTCACTCTGCTCTCCAGGCACATATCTCATTGCAGCACCACCAAGCTCCCTCCTACCTGTGGGGGTGGCAGGCCGCCTGCACCAGGAGGACACACAGGTAACATCTTCTTGATCTTCTCACTGCTGCACTCACAAGATGGAGAAGGGTTCTCCATGCTCCAGTTGCCTTTCAGAAAGATGTCCAGGACCGAGTCTGGCACTGAAGTAGTGGTCCATTCCCTCTGTCCCACAGTGCAAGGAGTGTTTCTGTGTCAGGAAAACAGCAAGGCAAATACTTCTTAAGAAAACTGTAATGGCCTTTGTTTACAAGCCATTTAAATTACCGACACCACAGTCTCAAAAGAGGCAGGCCATTTTTCAAAGGAGCCTGGCCTCACTGAGACAAACAACTCAGAGCAACAGACCATGCTCTGCAGGCTCTAACAGATCCCAGTGCCAAAGAAAATGAAGTTGGCCAACACTGACTAGTGCCAGACACTCCCTTCTCATTTGCTCCACAGCACATAAGTGCTTTATGTCACTCAGTCCCAGCACACACAGCATCTGGAGTTCAAGCAACATGTGGACAATGTTTAGTCCTATGGTTTAGTTTTAAGCAGTCCTGTGAGAAGCAGAGAGTTGGACTGGATGATCTTTACAGGTCTCTTTCAACTCAAGATATTCTGTGATTCCTAGGATCACGGCAGACATTGTCTTGGATGACATTTCTGCCTTTTGGGCACCAGAATACTGCTCTTTCCCAGGGCAGCGTCATTGGGCTCCTTCCCATGCCCCACGGGTGGAATACCCTAGCTCCTGCATCTGTTTTGCAGGATACGAGCTTACTTTCCACCACTAGCCAGCACAGAGGACCACTCTTCCCCCTCCCCATCACCCTGTGAATGAGACCTGCAGTTCTTCCACTCTGTACCCCCCTTCCACACTCACAGCCTGGATCTTCAGTGATCCATCTGAGGCTATGCAGCAAGTCAGTGGCAGAGCTAAGAAACACCACCAATGTTGTCTGGATCTCCACTCTTCCTGCTGGTGTTTGTGGAGGTGCTAACCTAGGCTTCTAGTGCAGTTGGAACACAGGATTGTGGAACAGGAATAGCTACAGTCAACAACACACAAACACATGACCCAGTCCTTTTCCATGCTGAGGACTGAACAGTAACAAGGGAAAGACCACTGTCTCCACCCCTGTCAGTAACGACCTGCACTGAAACCTCACTCCTTACCAGAGGGTTCTAACTTTCTAAAAGGTTCTGAGCAGAAAAGGTGAATATAATTGCAACTCTTTTGGCTTACATCCTGCTCTGGACATGCATGACTATCATTCCTTAAAGCCAGATAAATCTACTGGGTGACCAGAAGCCAGGGCTGGGCTTCCTCTTCCCAGCCCAGAGTTCTACTTACGGGATGGAGTGTCCCTGCATACAGCGTGTCCCAAAACCAGGCTTATTGAGAAGGGCATCCAAAAGCTTCTGAGTGCCTGTATCTTCTGGAGCATCATTGCTATGGGTACAGCAAAGAAACAATGTCAGGTCAGTGGGATAGCAGACACAGCAAGAGCAGCAGCAGAGCAAGGCTGAGAGCACAGTGAAAGATGAGGAAATGGATATGGGTGGAGATTTGCCTTTGAAGAATGCTTGGCCTAGGATCACACAAACACTCCTGGTCTTTGTGCACAGTATTATTAGAGTCATAGCACCACTCAGATGAATAAGGCTTTGACAGTAGTTATTTGACATTTAAAGGTCAAAACAGAAAACACCAGGAGTCTATTAAAGTGTGCTTCTGAGTTAAGCATAGAAAGTAAATTTAAAGCAACTTGGTAAGTAACTCAGTAATTCATGTTTGCAGACTTGGAGGCTTTAGTGCCATTTCTAGGCCACAAGAAACATACCTAATAAAAGTGTACTGCTCATCATACATCCAGGGCTGCAATTCCAGGCTGGGGTACTTCCCAAAGGGAGGAACAATCAGGCTGAACATGAGAGCAATACACACAAAGACAGCTGGCAACACAATCTGAAATTGCAAGGAAACAAAAAGTCTTTTTTAAAGTGAATGTTTCCAGAGGCAGCAGGAGCGACAAGTGAGTCAATGGATCAAAACTTTTTCAGCGTTTCCTATGAAGGTCTTTGCTATTTACACCAAAGCATTCCTAGACACCAATATATGACCCACCCTGGCATTCAGTCAGGGTGCTCACTCGGGACACAAAGGATTCAACCTGCAAATGCTGCCTCTTAAGGCCAAATGTGGATTTGGACCTCACTGGCACTCTTGCTGTGCAAGAATACTATAATCACTTGGATACCATGTAACTCCTTCCACTTGCACAGGCCCCCATTTTACTCAGATGGGCAGTGAAGACCAGTTTTGTTTATCTGTACTCCCCTTGAGATTTTCTGCCCACCTTCAGCTCTGAATACAATGCATAGCCCTAGAGCTGTCCCTGCAGAGGGACCCTGCACACGTTGGGTGCTCTCACCTGAGCAAAGAAGCCCTTCCGGCTCCTCTTGGCAATGAGCAGCCTCTTCCACAACAGAGCCATGAACTGCTGCTGGGTGAGCTTCCAGCCCTTCATCTGGTAGGAGCCTTTCCCATCTATGCCACTGAGAAGGTCTGTCTCTCTGGATTCTGCTAGCAAGAAGAAATGACCCTCATTCAAAAGCTCACAGAGATGTTCTCTGGGCACTTCTGTGCTGAAGACACAGGGTGACAGCTGGAAAGGCTTTTTGAGCTCATTCAGGGGGAAAAAAAAAAAAGCATTTAGCAGCAAAAGCAACAGTAATTCACACGAGTGCATTTTCACCCTTATCCCTCTAAACCTTGATGGGAGGATTGAGCAGGTTGTGAATACTGCACTGTTCACTATTCCTAAAGGCAAATAAGCCAACTCGCCTTTGACAGTGTCAGTCTTATGGTCTGCAGTATTTGTAATATGAGGGAGTGTCCACGAGAAAACACACCTGAGCCCCAGAAATACCTGGATCTATGTCTGAATCATTAGGATCATATGCATCATCTTCTGTAAAAGGACGAAGACAGCTCTGTCTGTCCCCAAACACACGTCTGTTTCTTCTGGCTGGCAATGTCCCATCTGAAAATAATACAATTATGATTAGCTGAACTGTTTTAGTAAATCTTCAGGTAGACCCCATAAAACTAAAGCAATGCCATTTTCATTTTATGTGTCTTCCATTTTCAAACTGAGGAGCTGATCTAGAGTGATTCCAGTGCAAATAAAGTAAAACCAAGACTGTAATTTGTGCAAGTGTCACATGTTTCACGCATCATTTTTTTCGTGGGCTGTCCTAGAATCTTACTCCAGTGCACTGGACACTTTTTTTTTTTTTTAGCCATAGAATCATAAATGTACTGGGCTAGAAGGGACCTTTAAAGGTCATTTAGTCCAACCCCCCTGCAGGGACATCTTTAACTAGATCAGGTTGCTCAGCACCATCAAAACAGCACACTGCTCTCACTGTAAGAAAACTCTTATTTAATATGCATGTGACTTCAGGTGAAATTTGCTAGCACTAGTTTATCAGGAAATGCTGGCATGAGCACTTAGTGCAGTGAGCTGCTTTCAGAAACAGAAAATTATTTGCTTCCTACTGTGGTCTGACCCTGCCAAGAGTTTTTCCTATTCCTCAGAGTAGGCAAAGTCACTCGAGCAATGCACAATACACTCAAACTCTAGAAGCACTGCTTTATTATTACATAATAAACATGCTACCACTGAGTCAATACAAGTCAACAGCATATAAAAGCATGCATTAGGTATATGAAGAATAGCTATTCAAATAATTCATTAAAAATACTAGCACAGTAGAGTTACAGTTCAGTCTGAAACAAGACCTGTCACACTTTAGCATGTGTCACCATATAGCTGGACATGCTGCCATACACAAAGGTCACCCACCTGCTCAAGGCTGGTGAGACAAGAACACTCCTCATCCAAGATAAACACAGACTTTTTATTTCCCTAGGAGCCCATCCCCACACTGAGATTTCACTCCTGAAATACCTAGGCTTGGTCAGCGTTGTGTTTAAACAGCACAAAAGGGTACCTTCCTCTGAAGTCCCCTTCAGCACTGTAGCAGACAACTACACCCACCTGAGGTTTCTGCATCCACACCACTATCATCAGCCACTTTCAGGAAGATCTGAAAGCAACAAGCGGTAGCAAAAATTAGAAGAGAAACAATATTGTAGGAACGGCTCCAGGAGGTGCCATGAGAGAGCACAAGACTGACAGATGCAGCACAAAAACAGAGAATACAAATTTTATCCCCTGCGTAATGGGGCCGTGAACTTGGAGGCTTCTCTCCAGCTTCCAGGAGCCAGACTGAAACCACACACCAGCCACTCTCCTTTCCAACATCAGTTCTCAGTGCACCTCAAACACAAACTCCTTCCCATGTCTCAGATAAAGACCTGGTTACTAAATGCGGGGAATCACATCTTCCTCCTAGTCTTATAGCGCTCACATTCATGCTTATAGTTCAATAAACACTCTTGCAGAGCCACTCCCAAGGACTCTCTCTACTAAGGTAGAATAAAGAAGCTGTCTTCAAATTGCAGATGGCAGCCAAGGCCTCCTCAGCTGTGGGAGGATCTGGAAGGTAACCTCAATAAGTGACAACACTACTGTTCCAATTGACCTTACAATTATGTAATTTATTTTAAAAAATAAAATAGATATTACACAAAACCAAGGGATAAAGTGCAGGATGCTTCCATGATAAAAGACAAGGACACTTGTCAGTTGAAACACAGCCACAAACTCTAAAAATACCCCTGATCAAAGTGCACATCTAAGTGGTTTCAGTAAAGTATCGAGTCCTGTCCTGAAATGTTATGTTTTCAGTTAAGTGTAGCACAAAGCACCCCTAATATAACTGAAAGGTGTTTATGCAGTCATTCAAAGTCAAATTGGAGGCCAATGTTCACATGACATCTCGGAGAAGTGCAAATGAGTACAAAGGACCTGATTATGCCTGGCTGTACGCTTCAATTTTTAAGGCACATGCCTATGAGCACACACTTAGAACAGCGCAAAAGACAATCCATGTGAGAGAAATACAAAACTGTCTGTTCCACAATAAACATTTACGGGAAGAGACAAGACTCAATCTTTTTCTTATTTTTGCCATGGTTCATCTTGCCTAGTTTAAGTCAAAAAAGAATCTTCAGCTCACTCACCTCCTCCAGGGTGGTTTCAGAGATGCCATAGCTGGAGATACCAAGATCAGAGAGTCGGTCATCAATTTCATGGAACAGCTCCACAAAAGCTCCCTCTTTAGCAGCCTTGTATGGCAAGACATAGGTTAATTCATGGCCAATGTCCTCCACCAGCCTGGCCTCAGGAACATGTTTTGTAATGAGATTTGAAATTGCAGAGACATCTACAAGAACCAAAAGGAAAAGGTGATGTTCATCTTGTCACTGCTCATTATGTGGAAATAAGAGAGCTTAGTCTGAAACACCTTGCTGGAAAGAAAGGAGGGAGAACAGAGCATCTCTGGAAAGAAGCTCATTTCCACATAAATAAAAAAAAGAAACCAGACTTTAACACAAGCTGAGATGAAAGCTTAGATCTAAGCCTGGCTATTATTTTTATTCGCAGAATTTGAGAGCGCTTTCACATGCTACTGGCAGCCCTGAAAGTCACTGATGTACAGTTCACTAGCACACATTACATATTGCTAGCAGGCCTAGCATCTACATAATCTTTGGTTATTTAATCTCAGGACAGCTTGAACCCAAAATGGCTCAACTAAAGAAAAATGCTCCAATATTTATGGATCTAAATGTACTATCTCTGTGATATTAATAATTGTCCCAAGACTGCAGCTATTCAGGGGCATAAGGTTAAGGCAGTTGTCCAAAGTCAAAGATAGAGCAATATCAGCATTGGGACTGAACCTCACATTATTTTCCAAGCCTCACCTATTGTCAGTGTGTCACTTTCATGGTCACTGCCAAGGCCAGCATCAGAGCTGCTCTGGGAGACACTGTCATCCTGGTCACAAAAGAGAAGACAACCATTGTTTCCTGCTGTTTAATTGGAAAGAAGCCCACCAGATGCTACACTCTAGGAAACTTCAAGCAGATTCTGCAACACGCTGGATACTCCACAGAAGAGTCAGAGAGTAATAATGACATACCACTGCAAAGGACTGAAATACAAGTAACAGGTCACTGTCATAAAAGTGAGCGTTACAGAAGTGTGCACTTCATCTGTTCTGTATCTCTTGCATCCGCTTTGGACCACTGGCATTGAAAGAAACTATATTGGAGATGTACATCTCATGCAACAGCTTAAACTAGATGTGATCTGGCACAGTACCTATAAAATCAAGCAACATTTCCTTTAAAGAACAAAGGATTTCTCTTTGAGACATTCTGCCATATAAAATCTTAGCTGCTGCTTCACATAAGCCTAAGCTTTCATGAATGAAGAATGAGGATGAGCTGGAAGGGTCCACCGTACCTTTTTCAGATAGGACACTGTGCTACTGCTGTTTCGGCAGGAACTCAGAGAGGAATCCACGTCCTTCTTGACAAGGGTCAAATAATAGCCTGTTCCCAGCTGGTTCTTCAGGAAGAGTGAAGAGCCAACACAGCAGAGCTTGCCATGAGAAATTATGGCAATCCGGTCTCCTAGAATGTCTGCTTCATCCATGTGGTGTGTGGAAAGAATGATAGTGCGACCTGGAAGGAAGCAAGGGAGGATGCTGCTGGTAAGTCAACCACACACATGCTCCCAAACCAAAGCCACAATCATCTGGATCTGGCCATGAAATTGGATGGGAGGTTGATGACACAATTCCAGGCTCCTTCAAATGAGGCTAGCTAGCACCATGGAAAAGGTTCACAATTGCTATCAGTTTTATTCTCCACATGCCCTTCCCATGCTCAAAGGCAGGTTCATTTCATTTCAGCAAGGCTGGACACACAGGGCAGCAAAGGCCACTGCTGCACACTAAGGGTGAATTTCTGACTTTAATTGCCCAGTGAGGAACTTGGTTCACAAGCTCTGACACAAATAGGATGAGAAAGGAGGACAGATGAGCGAGCAGAATATCCTTGTCAGCCTGCACGCTCTTTGTTCCTACCTCAGTGCAGGCAACAATGTATTTGCAAAGACATGTTGCTATTTTAAGAACAGTCATGAATCATACTGATTTTCTTTTGCCTTCCATGACACATTCATTAAGGGTAGAGAAAAAGACTACAATACCTTGCCGGTACTTCAAAAGCAATTCCCATATCCCTCTGCGAGAATAAGGGTCCACCCCAGCTGTAGGTTCATCCAGAATGACAACTTTGGAGCCACCAACAAAGGCTAAGGCAACTGAGAGTTTCCTCTGCATGCCACCTGACAAGTACAACAAGAAAGAGGTGTTAAGGCTGATGCAGAGATGAGAACAGCAGTAGCTGCAGCACAGTGGATCATGAGGTCTCAAAGAAAACAGAGCTGCACACTGAGAAGACCAAGCACTGCTACTGTTTTGGGCCTTCAGGGTCCTATCATCTTCAGACAAAGGATAATCCATCTGGATGGTCCTCCGTTAGTGGACTCCAACTCTCCTCCTGCTGCCAGAAATCACACCTTGCAAGCCCTTCCCTACATGAATTGTACTATCCCAACACTGGCAGTAACAAGTTGCTAGCTTGGAGGCCTAACCACATTTGAGTATCTGGAGCACAGGTCTCCAGAGCTTGAGCTGCAGAAATAGGTCCCCAAGAGATATTCCTCCTGTGGAACAGTGCCAGAGGCAGCAGCAAGGCATTCTATTATACTATTCAGTGCTAAAGCCAACCTATGACCACCCGCTTTCCCTTCTCATGGTTAAAAGCACAGTCTGTGTTGACAGTTGAGTCAGAGACAAAGGAGTTTTGGTCCTTCAGCTACCTGGTACTGACTTACACAAGAACGCCACTGCTCCTGAACAAAGGGGAAGGGCACTCCAGTACACCAATTGAAGAAGCAGAAGTCAGCATTAGAAATGCACATACAGTTCACAAACAGCAAGGGACTTAGAGATAATGGTCTGAGACGCTCTCCACTAAACGCATAGAATCCAAACACGTTAGTAAGCATTTGGAGAACATGTATCACATGTAGCTAGACAATGTCATGAGGGAAACAGGTACAAAACACTCGGAGAAAGCGAGTGACTTGTTGGGGGTTGGACTAGATGATCTTTCGAGGTCCCTTCCAACCCCTAACATTCTGTGGCTCTGTGTTATGCCCATTAGATAGCATAAGCTAGTGTAACACTGTTAAGTTTCCTAAGACATGCAGTTTAGGTATTTAATGAATAACTCATTTCCTTAAGTGCTTAACTGTGTAGTAGTCTATATTTAATTGGAGGATCTAATCAAAGTCCATGATGCAGCCTCTGTGAAACCCAACAGAGTTTTTCTGGAGCTGAGGAAGCAGTTGAGAAATAAAAGTAGCTGTACCTACCAGAGAGTTTGTTTGTCCTAGCTTTCAGTTTGTGTGGCAAACCCACATCCATTGCCATCTGTTCCATCTCCTCTTTCACCTTCTTTTCTGGCAGCCCTTTGAGTCGAGCGTAGAACCAGATGTGCTCCTCCACAGTCAGCCTAGAGAAGAGGAGTAGGCTCAGGGCACAGTTGAGAGCACCATGCTGGGGCTGATCCTTAGCATTAGCATTAAAACAGGCACATCTGCTTGCTCAGGAAAACATCTTTTAATGATGAGGTTTCAGGAAGGAGCTACAGACTGGGTGTCCTCAATCCGGGCCCGATTTCAGGGTGTGGCTACTCAACACGAATGTAAATTATTCTCCTTAAGTGCGCTTGACAGAGTACCCCAAACATCCAAAATCACTAAGCATTGGCCTATTTAACTTAATGGAGTAGATTTCTTTAAAGAGACATGAAAGATGCAAGTGTAGACTCTTGCTGACAATTCACAGGCATGTACAAACGTGCTAATAAACAGAATGTCCTTGTACCAATCTCACACCACCCTGCTGTCTCACACCGTGCACACAGATAAATACAGGACTGTTCTAGCTAAAAGCACGCTATCTTCTAAACAACCCAAACACCTGCTGGATAACACCGGCCCTGCATTTCACAGATGGTACTCACAAGTCAAACAGCACATTGTGTTGTGGACAGACACCCAGGTTCTGTCTGATGGTGCTGAGCTCAGAGCGGATATCTTTGCCCAGGATGAAAGCTGTACCAGAGGTTGGGGGGAACAAACCAGTCAAGATGGACCTGAAGGACAAACACAACAGATAAGCAGGTTCCACTACAATGAAAAGGTTGCGACATGTGCCAGGATGGATGAACAAAGCATGGGTGGAAGCCCTGGGGAACTCCTGCATCACCAAGGTAGTCTTGAGAAACATCTCACTAATGGATTTTAAAAAAAGTTAGCTTTAATGGTTCTAACAGTGATCAAAGCACACTCACATGACTCTGCTTGAAGGAAGTATTTTTTTTCCTCTACAAGCTTCTCATACTTTCAGTCCCAATTTGTTTCTTACATTGGTGAATCAGAATCACAAATGGCATTACTAAGAAGTGCTGCCAGAAGATTAATTCTGCATAGCAGGTAGTTCAACCTAAACTATCTCCACTCTCAGTCCCCTTTATCTGTGCATCTTCTGAGGCAGCTGCACAACTAGGATAAGCCAGCAGAGCTCCACTGAAATAACTGGAGCACCCTAGTCTGCACAAGCTTGTACCTGCAGTTGTACAGCTACCTCCACTGTAATGACAGGAACCACAGTATCCAGAGTTGATTCCCCCACTGTCTTAAAGCATTAATTTATTCTTACATGGTAGTAGTTTTTCCTGCTCCATTATGTCCCAGAAACGAGGTAATTTGTCCTTCATAGAAATTCAGTGTGAGACCATCTACAGCAACTTTCTTGCCATCGCGATAGACCTTGACCAGGTTCTGGATAGAAACACCAAGGCTCAGATGCATAGGTTCTTCTTCCTTGCAGACTAGAAAAAAAAAAAGAGAACAACGTAGAGAGAGTTATGATTGTAACAGAAACTGTGGAAGTTCCCCTATATCTATAGACTTCCAAGCAGAAATGAACCATATGAAGAACTGAACACATTTCTTTCTCAGAGATAGCAACCTTCCACAGAAGTTGTCCTTTAGCTCTTTTCTCTCCACTGGTCTAATCTGAGAGTCACAGATCTCACTAGGGTCAGCAAAACTGGAATTCTTAACTCCATGAGGCTGGAGTACCCACACTTGCACTCAAGCAGGTGAAGTACCTTAGGTTTATGTGGATACACCCACCTGATCAATAGATCCAAACAGTGATAATAAAGGGATGACCAATTTCTCCTTAGCCATGCCAGTCCTACTGTCCTTGGACTCTCTTTTCAAAAAGGCACCCCGTAACACTTCACTGCAGAAAGGTTTTCTGTCCAGCACTTACCTTCCGAAGGCCCCTTCTGGTCAGGATGAGGGTGCTCCCTGTCCTGTGGCTCCTCGCCAAACCAATAGGACTTTGTGAAAGGAAAGTACCATGGCCTGGGAATTCCATACTGGCCTGAAGACAAAAGCATGACGTCAACTTGACTGCATCTGACCCTTTTTTTGTATTAGCTTTCAGGACAAGAAGGGAAGTACTCCACCCCTCGTAAGCTTCTATGCTAAGCAGGACTGAGAGATCTTTCTTGTTGAAGACAGTGCCAAACTTTGAGGGTAAGAAAAATCTATTTTCACAAACTTCATTTAAAGGTTAAAAGCCCTGTGCTGGAAGGCGTTAAGCAGGTACATATGGTGCTGATACTCTCAACTCTTCCTCTGCAGGAGGTTCTGTGGACTCAGCAGTTCGGAGAAGGGAACAGCTAAAGTGCAGCAAAGCTTCTGGCACTAGCTCAGCCATTGCCACAATGGGGCACAGCCTTTGTGCTAGGCAACAGTCATTGCCATTAGAGCAATAATCGTACTGTGATGCTGGTCTGTGTTTTGCCTCCATGACCTTTGCGCAGCTCTGCTTAGAAATGGGCCCAATTCGCACCTTGGCAAATGATTAGCGTGAAGGGATCCACCTTCAGAAGTAGACCTCACCTGGGAAGACAGACTCAATGTACCACGTCATGACCCCATACAGGAAGGTGTCAAACAACATCATGACAGCAGATGTGGTGATGCTAAAGCCATCTTCTTCCAATGGGCTCTCAAAGAAGTTATCCCACTGAACACCAACTCCTTGCTCCTCAAACAGTGCAAAGTACTCACAACCAAAGCCAAAGGCTACTGGAGACAGGAGGCTCTGTGAATGGGAGGCACGAACATGCATTCAGTTTCTTGCAACTACTCTCTAAGTGAGCAGCTCAGCTGAGCTAGCTTTGCACAAGGCTAAGGAATATGGTCCAGAACCCTTACAGGAAAAGTCAAAGATCTAAGGACCACGACGATATTTGCAGAGAGGGAGAGGCAGACACAGTCTTGATCCCAAGCAAGCAAGCAAGCCCTGGAGTCTCTGCTGGACAACCACTCAGAATTGTGTTTCCCTATTTTCCTTCCCATGTTCCCTGGACTTTCATGCAAGGGAACAGACCATTAACAACCACCCTCTCCAGACAGGTAAGAAGTGCTGCGCAGAGGAAGGGCAGATAGTTCTTTCAGCCTGCATCTCTAGTGGCACAGTACCACAGCGTACAGAGATCAAGGCAGCTTAGTCCAGCTGAATTACTTCTACTACCAAGGCCAACAAAACTCTCTCAGCAGCTCCTAGCAGATTATAGTCAAATTCTTCAACAAGCCCAGCCCAGCTAGCCTCCTATACTGGAAAACTACCCTCCCATTGTCACCTCCCCACCTTTTTACCAGTGTCCAGCTACAGAGCTGCTGAGTGTTATGCTGGCAGAGGGTCAGTACCCGAGATGGTTTCTTCAAGACTCACCGCAAAGATCTTGAGTGAGAAGCTGATGTAGTCCTGCCAGGCAACACACAGCACATAAGGCAGGTACAGCGTGAAATAGACAATACCCCCACAGGCAGCTGCCAAGTTGGCTCTGGAGAACACAGTGCTGATGAGGAAGCACTGGAGGATGGTCACAACACCAAAGATCGAGAGGAAAACAAATACCACGCTAGGGTCGCTGTAAGGCAGTAGATTTCCCATCTGGCAGGAGAACAAACAGATGCATCAGGCTTTGAAAGGTCTCTGCAAGGTGACTCTGGTACAAGGAGGTCTGTTCAGGGGAGGCTAGGCTTGCTGCAATTTGTACAACAGCCTTCCCAGAAGTGGGCGAGTACCAGAGGTATGTTTTCAAGAGCACTGAATCTACTGCAGCCCCTTCTGCTGTTTTCAGCCACTCAGCCCTCCTTTTTACCAAAACCTTGTTCCCCAAAAGTTGCTGGCCAACCCACATTTGCTAACTCCTCCCCAATGCACCAGTGCAGACCGCTGCTTAGCAAGCTCTCAAGGCTCTATATTCTACTGCCACAGACCAAGCTTGTCAACTCACCTTAAGGATCAGCACCAGCAGGCCTGCGCTCATCAGGAGAGGAATGAGGCTGCTAATGAACCAGCTTAGCCACAGGATGCCGTTGTCAAGTCCCATAATCCTCATCGTCTCCTTCAGCCGGGCCTCCTTCTCATATACAATGCCCTTAATTATCACAGCCACTGAGTAGATCCAGGCTAGAGTCATGAAGAGAGGCATGGAGCGGCTCATGACACGCAGAAATCTGAGCAAAGGAAGGAAAAGGGCCAGGAGAACAGAGTGAGAAACCTCACTGTAACTTCAGGTACCACTCAAGGGCTGGCAGAGTACGGCGACAGCCAAGGCTTCACTGCACAAAGCAGCTAATGTGCAGGACTCAACACAAGATCTGTGTCCCAGCATGAGGTGAGATTGATGGGTCTAGAGCGCATCACCAGCCTGAGGTGGGAGCTGGTGCTGTAACTGTTGCTCAGCAGAAGACCTGAGTGCAAACACCTTTCTTTCCTGGGGATTGCTCTCAGCTGCCCGCTTTCCACTCTCCTGTGACTAGGTCTCTGCTCTTTTTCCCAGTGCTATTTTTGTCTGTATCACATTTAGCAATATGGTCACATCTCAGGAATATACTCTGTATGTGATAGTCCTGGGAAGGACTCTGCAAGTTATCACATATTCCAAACCCTTCATTCAGGTGCCCTAGTTCCAGGGATTAGGAACACTAAGGAGATTGCTGCCCTGCTGATATGTAGGGACATAAACCATGCCTTGAGCAGTGACAAAAGCCCATACCTCCCAAACCACAATCCTCCTGGCAGCTTTCAAAGCAGCCTGTGTACATACATGTCATCCACATAACATGGGTAGGGCATCTGCTGCACATAAACTCCCGTCTTCTTCTCCGTGCCTGTCTGTACCCTGATGATTGCCTGTTCCACCACATCCTGCAGGTAGGCAAAGCCTCCCCAAACATAGCGCATGTCCTCAAAGGGGTCAGCACGGGGACCAGGATCCCAGTACCTGCACCGAAAGAACACGACTCTTCCATTAGAAATCCTCATCACCACATCACCCCTAAGAAATGGTTCATAAGGCAAGAGGTCAGGACTCACCCGTCCTTGATCTTGTTGGTCCTTTCCACATTATCAATGTCCATGCGTATCTTGTATTTCACGTGTTGAGGGAGCTCTACGCTGTTAGGAGCTATTTCAGTGAAGACTATGCCAGCCCAGAACCTCCTTTCGTCCATAAGCTCCAATGACTTGTTTATAAGTTGGACTTCTGTGGCCACAGGCTCCAGTTTGTCCAAGTTCACACACTAGATGGGGACAGATTTGGAAGTGTTTTGGGATAAGTTACCAAATCAGAATGTACTTTGTTCACATTTGGGAGGAAGGAAAGCTCTGCAATGATAAAGCCATGCCCAAGAAAAAGCCTCAGTGCTGGACTACTTTCCAATGGCTCATGGCAGCCTCAAGTTGCTAGAGACAGCATTTCTAACTGCTTGATGCACCACCTGTCAGTCAAACATATATCCCTAAGAAACACCCCAAGCAAAGGTGCTTTCTGGACAAGAGGTTAGGTAGCACTGCAGTACTCGCTACAGGATCCCATCCAATCATCAGCTTCCATGGATAGTCTTATTGTCTTTGTTTCCAGTAAACTCGGTCTAATTCAAAGCCTCTAGAAATCAGTGGAGAGACCCAAAGGCTTTGGACCAGGCCCCTAACATCTGTATTTAGGCATCTGAATAAATGATAGCTTCTAACATGCTGTGCACTTAGCCCTACTAAAGTCTGGTCGTTTTACAGAAAATGGACTGAAAAACATCTATCTTCCCTTTCCAGGAATACCCCACCATGTGAGTGGAGACCAAATTGCTGCCCTCCACAGGTCCTTGCCCACACTACCAGGATCTCACCTCCATGAAGCGGGAGATGGTCTGGATAGCCCGGTCTGTCTCGTTGAAGGCATCCACCCAGGTATACACTGAGTCACCTGCTGTTTCAAAGTCCTCTGGATGCTTTGACAGGAAACGGGCAACATCCTCCACTGTCCAGTTGGAAGCTGGCAAGTGCAGGTCCCAGAGAGCTTTGCCTTTCAGCAGTGTCTGTCATTTTCAAATGAGACATAGTTGTTGAGAATTAACGTTAGATCTCATCTCTCATCGAAAACAAGTACCACCAGGGAAAACACCTTTGAGAAAGGTGCAGGGAGAGGCCCTCTGCCACACCGAGAAGCTCAGCGTGGTGGGGTTGTTACTCTTACCCTCCCGCTCAAAACGGCGCACCTCTCTCGGTATAGCTACACCATCAGGCAGTGGTGTTTTGCAGGGTGGCTGGCTGCCTCAGTGTCCAGGCACCCCTCTCCCAGGGAGAGGGCAGCAGAGAGCCACGCACAGCCCCGCACCCACGCAAACTGTTTTGCACCAGCAAAACCGGGAAGAGGCAGATGGGTGTTCAGGAGAAAGGCATTCGGCTGATAGTGGTTGCCAAGCTCTGCTCACCTCTGCTGAACAAACATCTGCTCCCGGCTGGGATGGGGAGGGGCTGTGGCACGGCTGGAGGCTGAAGTGGAGGTGCTGAGCAGGAATACCAGCACCAGAAGTTAGGTGGCTTTTCTTACGTATTTTGCCATTGTGCCATTAGGGCTCACTGAAGCAACCCTGTACAACCTCTCTGGTATCTTATCTGGGAAAACGCTTTTTTCACCGGGTTTAACTGGTGTTTTTCTGAGGATGGGCTACTGCCCCACTACGTGTATGTGCAATGCCCCCAACAAGTACCTGTGTACAGGTACAGGAAAGCTAGAGAGGGACTGTTCACACGTAGTGATAGGATGAGGGGCAATGGCTTTAAGGAAGAGCAAGGTAGATTCAGATTAGGCATTAGGAAGAAGTTATTTACTACTGCAACAGGTTGCCCTGGAGGCTCCATCCCTGGAGACATTCAAGGTCAGGCTTGGGGGGGCTCTGAAAAACCTGTTCTAGGGGGGTTGGACCAGATGACCTTTAAAGCTCCCTTCCAGCCCAACACATTCTATGATTATACAAAGTCCATTCCAGGTAGAAGTACCTGGCATTGAAGCAGAAACCAGTTCTCTGGGCAGACAATATATGGACAATCAGGATGGGAGCATTAATTGTAAAGGACACACTAAAACAGAAGGGGGAGGGGGGGGAAAGCCTGCCAACAAGAACAACCTGTAAAAATCCTAACCAATAAAAACAGGAAATGAATTTTCTGCCAGAACAAAGAATGAAGCAGAAGGGTGGGGAGCTTCCCCATGCTCTGCTATTACTAGCAAATCAGAAAGTAATAGGTCACACAGTAACAAAAACACTGTCACAAACTGGGAAAACAGAACAGGCCAAGCTAGCAAGGGAGAATGTTTGTAAGGAAAATCCAAGCACATAGGGATTGGCTGTTCTGTGCTCTCCACATTTGGCGTCCTCAGGTTGGCTTGTGTCACCATCCTCAGCAAGAACAGCACCACGGCCTGCAGGGAAGGGGCTCAGCCTCATCACATTCAGTGGCAACATTCAAGCTCCTTAACTCCAGGGGCACACGTTGTCCTCCCTGACTTTAGCAGTCTTATTAGCATCGAGTTGGAAGCACCAGAGATAGGCAAACAAAGCACTGTCCTTCAGCAGGTAGTATGTCGAACAGGTTGCACAACTGAAAAAGCTGGTAGGTGATGACTGCTCACCCAGCAGCAGTGACTAACAAACAGCAAAGGACCGACCTCCCCCTTGAAAGTAGCCACAAACGGCTCCTTCATGTACAACTGATCTGTGCTTCACCTCTAAACTGCATGGGATCCAGAGCTTCCCAGGCAATGACAGTGAAGTACTCCGGCCTGTGTGAACTGCAACAGGCAACCGCAAACGAACCCCTGCTAACCATGCCAACACAGAGGAGGAAACCAGACTCATGAGAAGGTCAAGAATTAGCTATCAGAGCCAGCAGGGTTAACAAGAAGTATAAAATACAAAACCAAAAAACCCTGGGTCTCTTTTTTTTTTTTTAAAAAAAAAAAAACCAACCAAACCACAAACCCCAGCAACATTTACTTTTCAAAGTACACAACTGCAAACCTGTATCCAAACCTTGCCTTTCTGTCTGCACACTCTGCACCATCCATTCAATTTACAGTTGGTGGTCCCAATTCTCACCTCCCTGATATCATCATCTACAGAATTAATTTTCATAATTCCAGCAGAGGCACAGAAATGATAAAAATGGTACCTCTGACTCTCTAGTATGTCATGTTGATGGGGAAGAGCAACAGGGCAGTCAGAGACTATTCAGCACAGCACTACGTTTGGGTAAACAAGGAATAAAGTTCAAGGCTTGAAAGACTTGGAGCTGCACTATGAAACCAAACCAGCTGCCTTGCAGAGACAGCAGGAGAAGCTACTCTACAACTGTTTCTCTGCTGCATGATCCAGTTTTACACCACTCTGCTTCCAAAGACATTGGCATAGCGTGCACTGATCCACCCCTCAGAGTTCACCTGAGGGAACTCACAGTGAACTAAGTCACTTAAGCAGATAATGCCCCAGTAACGCAGGTCTAACACCTGTGTTAATGCTCCAGGGAGCCAACAGGCTACCAGAAAGCATGTCAAATCTGAACAAGACTCCCATGCCCCTTCTTCATGGTCCAGTATGCACAGCACATTATGAAGCAATCAGCCGTAGGGAGGTATTTGCTCTTCTCCCACAAGCACCCAAGTATTACTAAATTAAACATACCATGCAACTCCAAATTAAGCTTTTACAAGATTTGTGCCAGATTAATTCCGGGCATCTAGGTTCAGCTCTAGCATGATAACCATTCAATTCCTACTATACCCATTGGGGCCCAGAGCCACCTGCCACCTTCCAATGTAGGTCTACAACCACTTGATTTGCTGCTATCATGAGAGCACTGCTGTGGAGAAATGCACAGTACAAGGAGGTGAATGTGTCGCCAACCCCACAGGTCCTCAGTTTACAAAAGTACCCCAAGTTAAGATATTCCTACTGCACTAGGGCAGCACTGTGGAAAAAACAGCCTGTTTCCCCACAGAGGTAAACTAGAAACAGGTGTTACACACTGTTCCTGTCTGCAGCAGGTTGTCACGTGAAGGAAGGAATGCCAAGCATAACACCAAGATTGGTACAACCACATGTTTCAAGAAGTGATCCCATCCATATTATTTATCTGCCCAGGTCAGTGCTGAAGCACCATCCAAAAGAAGTATTTCATCACTTAATGCAGAAGACAACAGTGGCGGTTCTGGCAAGGACAGCATACCCGAATGAGGTCCATTTCCTGACTACTTTCCATAAATGTCCAAATTTTCGGGCTTATCTCCTCCCACATCCCTCCGAGGTCACGAAACACACCCAGCTCCTGGAATGTCCTGTTCACCTGTTGGTAAAGAGGAGAGGAAGGTTATTACCAAAGGCTGGCAGAGATCCACTGCAGGCTGACAGGGGGCACTGACCTGTCACGTGAAGTACTGAGTGTTGCTTATATTCAAGCAGCAACTCAGCTTCCACAAGGACCAGAGTAGGGAAAAATCTAGTACACTTGGAAGGAAAACAACTACGTGGAATGTGGATGATCTCTAAGGTCCCTTCCAGCCTAAGACATTCTATGATTGTATGCCTGTGGCTGAGCACTGACTTTAAAGGCTTGGTGGAGAATGACTCCATCTGCGAGATGAAGGGCACACAGAGGTGGCCGCTCTCCATGTTCTGGAAGAGCCTTGTTAAGTGAGCTTGGGAAATTAGAGAGTACGTTACATAAACCACAACTGGAAATGATTAGGGATCCAATGATCAGCCTGCAGTGCAGGAGATAAAGGACACTTGGGTTCTTATCAATGTCTTCCCCATTCCCACATCAGAGACGCAGAGCCTGTGGATAAACAAAAGGCACCACCAGGAAAGCTTCCAGTTAAGTCTAGAAAAAGAGTTCAGCCTGGTCTTTTCTCCTTGAGCCTTCAACAGCAAGTGCATGCAAGGTGAGAAACTAGGGAGGCTGTGCTTTGCATGCAATTCTTTTTAGGTTTGTGTTTGGGCCGAATTTAACCTAGAGCAGCTAAGCTGCACAGTCAGATGACAAACCTCATTCTACATATCAGAAGATAGGGCTAGAGTTACCTCAGTCATGACCTTCCTTATAGCTGGTGTGTCTGGAGTGTATAAGATCTTCCCAATCAGCAAGGGTTTCAAAGCCCTCCAGATAATCCTGGAAAGCGGGCTGGATTCCAGGTTCTTCATCAGCTCATTGCAGTAGGGTGCTGAGGAAGACAGGACAAGGATGACTGCTCAAGGAGCATGTTGACAACTGCAGAAAGCATGTGCCTCACTTGTGTGAGCTTCAAGGACAGTCAGAGCCAAAAGCACAGCATTTGTCAGACAACAAAAACCCTTCTGTACTGCAAAGCTGCACTAAAAGCCACTTTCAGTTCAAACCTCCACAGTCACCCGAGCAAACATGCAGCATCCAACATTAAGAGCCATAGTAGTAGTTATGCAGTACTCGCACAACCCTGCTGCATAGCATGAGCAAAGTATATCCAGAAAAAGCCAGATTTCCAAAGGCTGCACATGACTGTGGTCCTTCTCCCCCTGAAGGAAGTCCATTGCACCGCCTTTTGTGGACTCCATACAAAGCCCCTGCAAATCCTTTGCATGTTGAGATCCTCACTGTGCTTAAGGACACGTGTATGTCTTTCTCAAACTGTGGAAGATATAGGGTCTCTCAAGACTACCTGCTCTCATGTGCATAACAATGGCAACTATTAAGTAGACAGGACCTTGGGCCACTCCAGGGTTATACTTACTTGTGGAGTTATCATAGAAGTTAGTTACATCGTCTTCAGTGCTGTTTCCTCCAAACAGTGCTTTGTAATTGTTATCCTCATACCAGTTGAGGGATTTAATTTTGAGCCCTCCACCCTCAGGATGGCCACACACAATGCGTGACACAGCCTGGTAGATTTGTGTAGAAGAGTTGGAGGCATTCACATTGGTTAGGAACATCACCTCTTGCCTCATGTCGCTCCAGCTCTTCATGCTCAGCAACTGGAGGGAGAGGTAGTAGAAGAGAATGAAAGGAGGGATAGAAAAAGAATTAGCAGGAGAAGAGGATCATGCCACTTTCCTTTAAATCCTTCAAATTTCCCCCACATCTGGTTTCAAACAGATGAGAATCCCCTTGAACTCAACGTCAACAGTAAAGACTAGGGAAAGCACATTTCCCCCCATCACAGTGAGAGAATGTAGAGGGAAGTCTCTTCTGTGCGCATACAAGGAAAGCACACTTGACACGTTCTTTATTCTCAAGTTTTCCCCTGCAGCGCTGTGGGTGGTTTCTACCCTCCCTGCCCGCTCACGTGGAGTCCGCTTCTCCTCCAGGTTGCACAAATGCTCACATTCCAGTGGACCCTCCTCATACTGGGTGGGTTGGAGTGTACTGAGTCAGAAGAGGGAGTAAAGAACAACACAAAGTGAGTGTAGCTCATGGGGTCACAGGCTGGATGAGCTTCAGGCCCCAGCCAGAGTCAGCTGGCACAACTCCACCAAGGTTAGCAAGCCTTCACTGATTACACCAGGCAGCCAGTTTGACCTTCAAGATCAGTATCGCTTGTCCTTGCCTCAGCACCTCCCTGTCCCATTGTCAACAGCATTCCCAGAAAACCCTTGAAAATAAGCCCAGCTGCACCCTGGAATCTGATCAGCGTGACCACACAGCCAGCCACAGCAAGGAGCCTTCTCCTGCCCAGCCGGCCTGACACCAGGATTGAGGCGACAATACAAAACTGGCCAGGACGACTGGTATCTCCCAGACTGATTTGTCTGGCATAAACATCCACCTGCAACATGTCAAGAACAAAAGCACCAAGACCTCAGCCCGAGTCACTCACTGAACTAATGTTGCCATACACAGAAGCATGGCCAAGCTCACAAGAAGAGAAAAAGCAATGCACCTCCATGAGCACTGGTTTCACACTACGCTCGAGCACTGTTCTCACTCCCTGTTGCAAGAACGTCAGCAGAGATGCATCTATACAGACTGGAAGTCTGTCTCAGTAACCCCTGGGGTGATGACGATAAGTGGATGTTAGGAAATAAAAACAGCAAGGGGCAAGAATGTAGGGTAACTACACCAAGTAACTTTCCAGCTACCACTTATTTCCAGCTTGGGGAACTTCTGTTTCCCACCCCATGAATTTCTTCCCCCCTAATTATCTTGAATTTCCTCCATGGTAAACTGCCAGAATTTTGAACATTTAACATCCGTAAGCATTTAACATCCAACACATCACTGGAATCTCTTCTAACTTCTCCTTCACTTGGCTATGGTTAGCTCCATTTGGAGCCATGTTTTTAGCACTGGAGGAGACAGTAAACATTCAATCCCTATAACTTTTTTCTTAGGCCACTCAACGGTTCTGCGATTCTAGATCTCTCTCAGACCCCCACATCATCTCTTTTCCAAACTGACAAGCCCTAGTCTACTCCCTTGGCTCCTTGTATGAAAGCCATTACATTTCTGAATGTCCCGGTTGCCAGAAGGAGGGCTAAGATTTGTATTCCATATCAGACAGGAGGGCAATCCACGGTTTTACACAGTGTCACGGTAACATCTTACAGCTAGTTCTCTATCCCTTTTTAAATCTTTTTTAGTATTTGATCCAATTTCTTGACTCCTAGAGTTTTGCATCTGGGAAAGATTAATCCCATGTGTCAGTAGAGGTTGGAGACTGAACTGCTGGAGAGCAGCGCAGGGGAAAGGGACCTGGGGGTTCTGGTGGACAGCAGGATGCCCATGAGCCAGCAGTGTGTCCTTGTGGCCAAGAAGGCCAATGGCTTCCTGGGGTGTATCAGAAGGGGAGTAGCTAGCAGGTCGAGAGAGGTCCTCCTGCCCCTCTGCTCTGCCCTGGTGAGGCCACATCTGGAATATTGTGTCCAGTTCTGGGCCCTTCAGCTCAAGAGGGACAGGGAACTGCTTGAGAGAGTCCAGCTCAGAGCCACAGAGATGATAAAGGGAGTGGAACATCTCCCTGATGAGGAAAGGCTGAAGGAGCTGGGTCTCTTTAGCTTGGAGAAGAGGAGGCTGAGGGGTGACCTCACTAATGTTTATGTCAAGGGGGAGTGTCAGGAGGATGGTGCCAGGCTCTTTTCCGCAATGTCCAACGACAGGACAAGGGACAATGGGTACAAGCTGGAACATAGGAGGTTCCACAAAAATATTAGAAAAAGCTTTTTCACTGTGAGGGTGACAGAGCACTGGCACAGGCTACCCAGGGAATGTCTCCTTCCTTGCAGACATTCAAAACCTGCCTGGACGCGTTCCTGTGTGACCTACTGTAGGTGATCCTGCTCTGGCAGGGGTGCTGGACTAGATGATCTTTTGAGGTCCCTTCCAACCCCTGACATTCTGCGATTCTGTGATACCAGGTGACATTAACTTGGATGTTCTTGCTGTGTTGCCCAGAACAGCAACATACACTAATATGGGCAAGCAGAGCTGCTGAGACACCTATTTGTAACTGTTCATCAGCTGCATCTCAGAAATAACTTCAGATGCTGTGGCCCCAACTTCCCTGTTTCCAGAGTCAATAACAGAGTCAGTCAAAGACCATCTGCCAGTTTTGCCCTCTGTGCATTGGTTTTGTCACCTTTGGCTAAATAAGATGCAGATAACTGAAGTCTAGGACAGCTGATAAAGCCAGCCAGCAACAGTGCAGAAAGCAGCAGTGTGCTGGAACAATTTAATCTAAATTCACCCAGGGCAAGCAAAAACAGAGCTTCTGGCCTTACACTGGGAGGCAAACCTGACGCTTTGTGTTCATTCGTAGCACTGTGTGCGCTCTAGATGTGCCAACATCTGGGCAAAAATTCTAGTGCTAAACAGATACTACGTGTCACATACACAAGGAGCCTCTATTTTTAGCTGACTGAAAACACATGACACACTGATATGATGGAAGACAGCTGTGAGAACAGCTAAAGCCCGGGTTTCAGTACATGTGTCCAGAGCAACTGCTTCAACTGTGCCTTCATTTCCACGCTACTCACTGCTGCTTTTGTCTGCACCCTGGTGCCACTCTATCTGGCTCCACAGGTTCAGGATGACTGACAGCACATCAGCATCATGGTACATGCATGAAAACAAATGTCAGACAACAGCTTTTGTGGGCTAAATATGCTCATGTGGATTTTTGGATTTGATGATTCGTCACCCAAAAGGCCAGGGTTGCAGTTCGGGTGTGACGGTCTGAGTGTCCAATTTAAAGGGATTCCTTGGGGAGTTTTTGGTAGGTCAGGCAAAACAGCTTAATTTTCCTCAGCAAAGAGTCAACTGCTTTAGCTAAAGCACCATGAACTCCCTAACACAAGCAGTGGTGTACAAATAGGAAGTGCAGCTAATTTCCTTGAACGCACGAGGTGTTAACCGTCTTGCAGGACTGCATGAGGAAATATATCTTTACACATAATTTTACAACTGTCTGAGCAAGGAGCTTTGGCACCAGCAACTTTACAACTGAGATGCAGAGCTGCTCTGTTCACATCAATGGACGCAAGTACCTCACATGTGGAGGGTTTCTGAGCTCATTCTTCTCCCAGGCATCAGACCCGGCCCTTTAAGTGTTTCTAAATAGTTGCCCTTGCTCTTCATGTTTAATCTGCCCTTCTATGTTGATTTGAAGAGCCCAGGGTCACAGATCTAATCAATTCCCATATTCAGAGAAATATTTTGTTCAGACTATTCTCTAATTAAAATTCCTTGCTAGAAAGGCTCCTAGACATGGCACAAACAATAGTTCTCCAAGCTGCTGTCCCTCCTTCTCACACAAAAAATCAGCCTGCTAGACAATAAGAAGTAACTTTTGGTCAAGCCATCTGGACCAGCTCACACTGTACGCAGAAGAAAAAAGCTGCCTTTGTTTGCACAGTAATAGGGCAGAATAAAAGGTAGTCCTACCCAAAACAGCTGCCAAGCAAAAGTCACGTTACCCCGGGACCTTTTTGGCCACATCAGCAAACTGCGTATCACATGGTTTCAATTATTTTTATCCCAGACAAGAAAAAAAGGCAAGCTTAAGTGACGTAACGGGAAACAGCTGTAATCAAACTCTGAAAGGCAGCCTCCCTGCTAGCAGCAAGAGCTCTGCCATGGTCTCAGCTGAAGCTAATCCTGGAATCATCTTAATTTCACTGTAAGTGGGACCTGGCGGCAGGTTATGGGACTCAGAGAGAGATGCATGCCAGGAATTGTTGGCTGGCACAGCGCTGGCTCCCGGCAGCTGCCCCTCCGTGGGAGGGGAGTATACACTAACCTGAAGTGACCCACTCTTGTGTGTGCTCTCAGAGGTTACTGCCGTTCACGGCTCTCAGCTCTCTTGCTCTGATGCAAAGACTAGCAAAGGGGAGGCGGCAGCATTGTTTAGCTTAGATGGTTGTGACTTCTGCTTCAGGGAGAGAATGTTTTTGCCTAGTAGCAGAACTTCAAAGTCAGAGCCAACCAAAAAGCAACTAAGATAAGTTTCTGGCTCAAAAAAAAATAAATATCCCAACACCAACCCCCCCAAAAACTTCAGTTTTGGACCTAAGGTAAGTTTCTGGCTCAGAAAAACCTCACATCCAAAAAAACCCCAACCCCTAAAAAACTTCCGTTTTGGACTTCTTATTCATGCTAGGAACGCAGGGCTTTTTTCTTAATCCATTTCACCTGCAAAACCAAATACTTGTCATCTCTATAATGTCACTTTGCCTCTTCAATTCACTATTTATGTTTTTCCAGAGCCTTTCACAGCCAGTATTGCGATGCCGTTGCGCCAAGTGCCCCCCAAGGACCGACCGCAATCTCTGCCCCAAAAAGCTAGTTAGACAAGGAGCAAACAGTAGCGTAATTTAGACTAGAACAGCCACAAAGCATCTTCCACACGCCATACCCTCACCCCCTCAGAGACCAGTATATGCAACAGAGTAACAACTCTGATGGGTTGGTAACTGCGTGAAAAAAAGAGAAGGGAGGCAAACCTCCACATGCGAGTTTGCCAGGCACTGCTAGGCAGCAAAGATACTCCAAGCCCAACAGTTGTGCCACTTCTGAGAAGCCAAACTCCACAGAAAACATCTTAATTCCTGCAATCCAATCTTTAGCCACGCTTCTGACAAACTCCTACAGTGTTTGTAACTTGAAGTGCCAAGGGGCTGCAAAGGTGTGTGCTGCCTCTCCTGGCACAGGGAGAATGGCTGCACCATGGTGGGAAGTTTCCAAACAAGCCAGGGATTTGCCTTTGAGATGCATCAAGGAAGCTTGTGGTTCTTGTACTCAGCTGCAGGCTAAGACAGCAGCCACAGTAATGTGTTCTCCTAACATGAAGGTGCTCCTTACCTCTTCAACAAGCTTCCTAAGGCTCCCTCTCAAAGTTTCCACAGTTTCTGACAGATCCCGCAAGGAAGAATTGAAAGAAATTTGTCTCTGCAGAGAAAAAAAAAAAGGAACAAGAAGTCACAATAAGGCACAAAAAAAACCCCAAAACCCCTGCACTCTTGTTAACATTCCTGTAAAGAAGAGTAGTAAGGACTGTTTACACAGCAAACTGCTTGATGGGCTAAGATGGAGCTGGTTTTCTGTGCTGCTTGAGCTTAAAACACCCCAGGCTTCAGCACCCCACAGTGCAATGGGGACATCCCTTTCCCTTGTTCAAAGGTTAGCTATGCAGATGCCATAACCCAAACCATCCCAATAAAACTTGCAGTGCATGTGCATACACTTAGAGCACAAAGGACAGGTTGCATTCCAGGTCACAAAACAAGCACAGCTGGCAGGACAGCACGTTGACAGACCTGAAATCCTGCAAGCTAGTGCTAAGAAGATTACAAACTCCACACCAGGGAAGAAAAGGCCAGCTGGTAACACAAGTTTTCAGTGGAAGTCTGCAGATACCAGCTCAGAAAAAAGGAACTCATACTGCTGTGCACCACCTTTATCACTCAAGTCCTCCCGTAAGGCCTTGATGTTTTTTGGCTAAGCCCAGGGCATATTTTAAAACAACCAGATTTGATAAATAACTGGCATTCACCACTAACAAAAAAAGAAAGAATGGCAGGTATCCAGAAGTGGAAGGCACAGCTTTTAGGAAGCTATTTCCTCCAGCAGGGTGTCACGCTGAAGAGAACCCCTTGTTTCCAGTTGTTCTACATGTAACTGGTGGATTCACATTTTGGTTTGTGGAATTCTTTCTCCCCATCTGGTTTATCTTGCACAGAGAACATTTGGACCCAATTCTTACTTAAGGGCAATGAAGATTAAAATAATTCCTTAAGATTGCACATTAGCAGCTACATGTTGCAGCATGCGAAAGCATGCCAAACTTATAACATTGTGACATACTGAGCAAAAGCCGTGGCCCTTGATCTTAGCAAGCATGTTCTAGGCTAAAGCTTTTCATTTTCTTATCTTGCCTGGGGTAAGTTCTGGAAGCAAAGCCTGGAGGCTTTTACTTGTTCTAGTCAATTTGCTGAAAGGTTGTAAGACCTGGTCAGTGCCATCTAGTGTAAACAGGCAACATTCTACTGATCTGCTGAGGCATTTAAGGTCCAGCTAACTTTTCTGAGTGCACAGTTAGTGCCTGCTAGAGCCAGGTGGCAAATTCAGGAGGGTTCTCTCTAACCTCCACGGATTTCTAAACAGAGTCCTTCAGGTTCAGATAAACCTTATTAGAGCTAAATGAAAAGCAACTGGAACTCTTCACAGACCAAGACCTTCAAGACGTTATTTCAAGAAATATAGTCGGCAAATACCAAAGCTACATAGTTGCACTACCACACTGTAGCAACAAGACAAGCCAGAAAGTCCTAGGTTCATGCTTAACAGCAGATGTGGTTGTTCAGCTCCACATGCCTCATCAAGCTCTACACTGATTTGCGTTATTCACTGTATTCGGAAGTGATTCAGGGACAGGGTTGATGAGGAAGAGTATTCTGATGATACTAATTGGTTCAGAACAGTGAAAAGTCAAAAGCCAATTGCAAAGGATTACTGAACGCCTTCATGCTGACACACTGTTAAAAAGTGCCAGATGAAATTCAGTGCAGTGAAGTAAAGTACATAGAGAGAAGACAGTTCTACCTTAGGATACCCTTTGATGGCTCTGAACTAGCTACTGCCACTCAGAAGGAGAGATTGTAGAATTACAGTGGTAAGAGATCAACGTCAACATAAATCCTGGGTCTGAAGTACTATACGCAATTTTGAGTCCTTCATCTCTGAAGGAACACGAGTACCAAAAAAGGCCACAAGTATGATCCCAGATAAGAATGGCTTCTGAAGGAAGAATAACAGACCGCAGTTCTACGGGATCCATAATGACAAATCAAGGTAATGACAGAGATCTGTAGAATTACAAGTGGGATGGAGAACAGGGGATGACTGTTCACTGAAAATACCAGTTTAAAACAAACCAAAGAAGCTACCAAACTCACAACTCAGTCAAAACAAATGAATTCAGTAGATGCTAGACAATGCTGAAGGTACTAAAAGTTAATGTGTGTTTGAGAAAGGCTTGCAAGAATTCATTACAGGAAAAAAAGCTTACCAAGTGCTACTAAGCACCAAGATCCCAGCAGCAGCTGAATATCAGGTGGGTGGGGATCAGTGAAATGCTTCCTGGATAACCTGAATCAGACTGGTCAGCTGAATTACTTCCCCAGCAAACAAGGTATTTTGCCGGCTAAAAAGCCACCAGGGGCATAGGAGAATATGATTTGATCACAAGCAACTGAGAAAGTCTGAATTGCAAGCTGCTGAAGAACAAGACATCACATTGAAGAAATGCTACCACAGACTTGCCCCATGGCTGCACACTTTCATGTGTCTCCATCATGGGCTGGACTAGCACTCAGGAAACGCTGAGCTGAGCAGGCCTTCAGTCTGAGCCAGTATATGCAAGTCTTCAAAGGGCTTGAAAACTTAGCCTGACATGTCAGAACCCACCTATCCTTTCACATCCCACTCCCTTCACCTTTCTTCCCTAATAAATTCACAGTAATCCACGTTCATTTATCACTAGAACTTGCAAAGATGACATTGCTATGGAGGGAATTTTGCTTTCTTTATGAACACCCTTTTTGCACGCTAAAGCCCATGCGGGGAGATTGTCTCAAGTCTTATCTCCAGACACAATGATGAAAACGAGCCACAAGTGGCCAGTCTTCTTTGTATAGATGACCATGTCATAAATTTCCTTGGAAAAAAACCTCTTTGCAGTGGCATATTAAGTAAACTAGTTCATTACACTCACAAGAGCCTTCCAGATACAAGGAGATTCTAGTAAGATTGGTCCCACTGTGAGAGCATCTTTAGTTGGTGTCTGCACAACAGCAGGGGCAATGATGAATCACCTTTCAGCTAAATGCTACAAAAACATCACCTGTCCTTCCTAGGCACACTGTGGAAAGACAAAGTTCTAGCAGGTTTTAAAGCAGATGTACCCTGTACAATTACTGTTAGCAGCTAGCAAGTCATGCCCTAATCTAGACTGGTCTTTGGGGCAGCCAACATCATAACACTCTTGGGGTACAAACTGCACTGGGTGTATTCCGTGTGCTTGTATGTGCATGCTACAAGAATCAAAGCGAAGCCAAATACTTGAGATGACTAGGGTTGACTGCACAGTCAAGACAAGCCTTGAGTAAGTCCACCTGTCAGCTCCTGCTAGAAGGGATGGATATCTCTGTTTCCTTAACATGTGGGAGTGAGCATGTGTCTGAAGTGCTGGGAGCTCAAACTTCAGCCACTACCTGCATCACGGTAACACAGCTGCCTCCGCTTCATGAGACCATTCTGCCACATCAGCCTTGAAATAGTTTTTACAACTTTATACTGATCTTAACAGAAACTTAACACTGACCTTTCCAGAAAAATCACGCGCTTTAAGCTTCTGCTTTTGTTTCCTGGGAGTGGCAGTCCCAAAGTCCAGCTGCTTAAAAACATTATATCATCATACTTGACTGAACACACTCTCAGAAGAACAAGGAAAGCCACAAGTTCAGTTGTAGCATGTATTTACATTAAGAGACCTTTTCTAAAGCCATTTGCCAACTGCAGTGCATTTATTATTCAATGCTTAGTCCATGCTAACAAAATGCCACCTACATTATAAAGGGAGGAAAAACAACCTGATTTTGATGTGCTCACCCACACTCCTTCAAGGATCACTGTAGTACACAGGCCACAAAACATTTATGGCTTATTATAGACCCACACCACCGGAACTGAGTGTGCCAAAGCCCTGCAGAGACAAAAATCCCACAGAACCAACTGGAATTCTCTTCATCATTTAACCTTCTCCCAAATAATTTTCAAAACTGGGGAGATCTGCAGAGTGAAAATTCTCTTGCAGACAGGTATTTTTATGATACAAGACAGTCCCTACCCATCACAACATGAGTCCAGTAAGATACCTCTGACTTGCTGCCATTGCTCTTGCTAAGCAAGAATGCCCGTAACCTCTCTCAGACTGTGTAGTTCTTCCATGGGACAACCGCTAGCCTAATACAGGGAGAAAACTGAAAAGGAAATCTACGTGCATGTAAGAGACACTGTTGCACCGTTCTCAAACCAGCTTCTCCTGCCTCACAGTCTTAGTGACTACACACACACACTCACTCTGACCACTGGGTTCTCAATCTTGCACCATTCCCTTCATGTTTCAGCACACATGTCTGTGTGAGCATACAACGGGTCAGTCACTTTTAATCCTGATCAACTTTGTTAGGTAATTTATTGCATCATCTTTCAGGGGGAACAAGAAAAGGAACAAGGGGCAGGAACAAGCAGGTGGATGCTGGCCTGAGTCTTCTGGATTAAGATAACTCAAGAAACTATAGCCACTCTACTCTTGAGCAGCAAAAACTCATCTCTTACTATCCAAGCCCTTGCTATTGAATTTACACAGTCCTTGCATACAGTTACAAGTCCTTTTTCACCCCAATTATATTGACCATAATCATATGAAAATGCTGCCTGTGCATAGAACACAGAATGCTGCAACCAGTGGAGCCCAAGTCCCATTACCTAAGCCAAAAACCTGCCTCCGAGTTGCTTTGTATCTGCATTTGATTTGCCTCTTTACTTACTGAAATGCTGTGGTGTGAAGAAAATAAAGGCAATTAAGCAAAAAAATAAAATTTAAAAATATACCTCTGGGCAAATTGTTGGCATTGGTTTACAGGCTCTGTAGCAGATATAGTGCATGCTGTCTCCAGTATGTGTGTCCAAGATTTGACCCACAGTGCCTTTAATTATAAGCTATGTCAAAAGGCTCCTTTGTTCACAAACAGAATGTTCCCTCTTTGTTCAAAGATGTTACTGCAGGTCAAGGCACTTCTTAGCCTTTAACGACACTAAGTTTCAGACGTGTAGGTCCTGATCCTAGAGTTAATTTATTCATTTTGCCTGGCCACACTGAAGCCAGTTGGATTTTATTTCACTCACTGATGCATTACAGCAGCTTAAGGAGAGAGTAAGCTGTGACATTTTTCAGAGGAAAACTGTGGACCTTGAAAAGACAGGGTACAATACACAGCAAGTTTCGGACTGCTGGCTTCTGGACTCAAGCTTGTTTCCGTTAAAGCCAAGATCATAAGCCAGCTTCTCAGAAGTCTCCCAACATTGCATATAATGTCTTAATCTACTTTGCTGTTGCCAAGTGGCAGAAAGTGACTTATGACTGCTTTCTTTCACCAACAAACAATATAGATGTAAAAACACAGATATACTCAGCACCTCCTTCTGTCAGCTAAGTTGTAGAGACTGCCCTAGATGAGAAAGGCAAGACTGAGTCTCTAGAGGGCAATGGGGGGGGACAATTTTAGAGCTGTTACCTCATCTCTTAACACTTATGATTATCTTGCTCTTTCAGCAAGAAAGAAAAAATGCAGATGGAGGACACATGGAAAACAGAAGATGAACTGTGGAGAGAAGTAACTGACCACTATGTACTGTGCAGAAGAGTAATATGATTCTAGTGCTTGATTATGACCCTCTTTGACTGTGGACAAAGCCAAGCTAGTGGTACACAACTTTCAGTCCTGAAAGACATATAAAATTTGGAAACTCACAGAGTCAAAGCGTTTACTTTTTCCACAGTAGACAGAGTGTTTGTTTTAGTGGGTAACAGAGTGAGTTCTGTGGTCCCTTCTCTCTACTGTTATTTCCAGCACTAACTTCCTCAGACTTTTGTATTTTACCACATATTGCAGACCTATAACAAAATATCACTGAGGTTTCCTAGATGAAAAGGTAAGCCTGCTGCAGTCTTCAAACACCTCTTAAACAGTGTATTTTCCTGAACCTCAATGAATTCTTGCTCCAAAATCCATTCAGTTCATCCATCTTCGAAACAGGGCTTTACAACTTGACTCTTCTTTTTATTAACTAAAACTGCTCAAAGGTTGCAGTTTACCACTGGCTAGAAGCTTCTGCGCTCGGTGGTCTCATGGTAAGGGCAGAGGATGATGGTTTTAGCACTCACTACAGGCCAGTACAACATCTGGGCTCATTCCAGTCGAGACACAACATCCGACCAGGGAGAACCAAGAGCCTACTTAGTACGACACACCATAAATACTTTGCTCTTGACAAACTGAACAGCAGACCAGATACATTTACACTTCACAAGTAGCACACTGCAAAACGAAGGGTAAGAATGACCAGAAGAAGCAACATTGTTCATGCTCCAGTGATAAAGACTATCTTTCCTCATTCTTACTACCAAGGACCAGTTCACTCTGGAATTGCAGGGATGAATTCCTAGACCAAAAGCCCTAGAAAAATGTCACCGTGTCAATAATAGCCTCTCACAAGTGGGACCAGTGGACTCACCTGAAGGGGCTTCAAAGGATTCAGGTTTGCACGGAAGGCTTGTTCAGCTGCATGGAGTTTTTCCTTCGACAAGGTGCAAACAAAGACTTCTGAGTCCTTGGCTACTGTCTGATTTTGGACTGTAAGAAATTCAGACAGTGCTAAGCTATTGCAGAAATCCTGCAGTCGCATTCGGTAACCAGACACAATGACCTGGAAAAACGGAGAAAGCATGTAAGTCTCCCTTTGTGTCAGACTCAAAGCATCAAGTTGGTTATCACCTAGACAAAACTAACAGTTCATAACATCTCCAGATCGATGTGAAAGGACATTCTTCTCTACCGGTTGCACAGCCCTGACCCATGTGCAACTCAATTTCAAGAAAAACATGTTTCCCTGACGAGAACATGGAGAAGTCTTGGAGGGGACAGGTCTCACTACACTTCTCCACAGCCAGGCACAGAGCAGCAGCCATTTCCTCCAGCCAAGGGTACACACATTGCCTAATCCTCAATCTTCTGGGAACTGAGTCACAGAGGCAAAACAAAACTTGCAACCAAGTCTGGCAAATGTATGTGAAGGGCAAAAGACCTATGCCCCAAACCCCTTAAATATATCTCCCAGCCACATTTTCTCTGATGTTCTGGACCGGGATCACCCTCTGTCTTAGCTCTGAAGTGTCTCTTTAGTAACTGCTACAAGAAACACTTCACAGTGTTTTGGGGCTGCAACAAATAAGAGACAAGACCCTAGAGTGTTCTTTAACAGGCATATTTTACTTAAGGTGATGGCTTGCTTTTCAACAACATTTCCTAACCCACAGGCAACCACTTTATTAGTGAAATAAATTTATAAAATCCCTCTGAATTATCACCAGTCCCTGATGGTGTATTTCTTTTAATAAGGTCAGTTACAGAATTAAGGTTTGCTGAATAAGGAGGTACATGTCAAACAGGTGCATGCTTCATAAAGGTGATAAATAGAAGAAAAATATCAGTCTTCTGTTGGAAATATTTATTTTTTTTAACTTGAGGCAAGATAGAGGAAACCGTTTTATTGTAAATCCACAGGTAATCACAGCTTTACACTTCATTTCTTTTCTGTTCTTTTGTAATACCCAGTGTGGACTGCCCAACTTCCAGCAACAATTAAAGAGGATTGATCTACATCCCAGACACAGTTTCTAAGTCTGAAAATTTTCTTGTCTTTCAAAACCAAGAGGGCATCAACAATTCAGGGGGCAAAAGCTCACTATGCTCAGAAAACAAGCAGATGGAACTGACTATAGAAGAAAAAGATTTATAATGCACCCATCTGCCAAAACCAGGACATTTCTATGCTGCACACTCAGCTGAATAAATCAGATAGCTCTCACATCAAAACGGCTGGCCTTTTGAAGATGTCTGGGTGGGTTGTTTTTCTTGCCAGCACAGATATTACCACCATCATAGCCATGCTGAAAAGGGGATATTCATTCCTGTGGCACTGGAATGACACTCAGGAGACCTGGGGTAAGTCTAAAGTAGCTTCCCTGGTTGGATATGCAGAAAAACACCGTCTCCCAGTGCCTCAAAAGTGAACAGTCCTTCCGCCACCCCGCTGTCTGTCCACTCCTGTCACTCAGATTTTAAGCTCTTTTGGAGAAAAGCAGCTCTTTCCAAACACAGTGAAGTCCACGACACATAACGCTAGAACTAATGCTTTGTCTAGTCCCCCAGACCAAAACATTCAGCCACACCAAGCCAATTCTCTGCAACCGTTTCAAGCTATATGAAGCCATGGTGTCTTCAACATGCAAATATATTTCTAAATGCCAGGTCAAGCTCCCCAAGGCCTCTCAAAATGCCAGGCTTACATCTGAAAGCAGTCACAGCTGACTGTTTTGTGCCCACAGGTCACACCATTTTCTCCTGGAACTGTCACAGAATCAGAGGATCATTAAGTTTGGAAAAGACCTCTAAGATCATCAGATTCAACTGTAAACTCAACTCCACCATGATCACTAAACCATGTCCTGAAGTACCACGTCTACACATTTTTTTTAACACCTTCAGAGATGGCGACTCCACCACTTCTCTGGGCAGTCTGTTCACTCCTGGCAGAATCAGCACAAGAATTTCACAAAGAAGAATAAAGCTTAAAGCATCGAGGCAAGTACTAGCCAACCGATTATCTCCTCACCACGCTTCAGATATGTCACTTAGACAAAAGCTAAGCTCTTCTTTTCCTTCCACTGGCTTTGCCCTATGAAATCAATATAAAACTGCAGTGACACAACATGAGGTCAGAACTTGGGGTTTTGCTTCTTTAAAAAATCCTTCTGCCTTTTCATTAGCATAGGGAGAATGATTTTTGTTGCTCAAGTCTTCTGGTTATCTTTGCAGAACCATCTGTAACACGATTTTGTTTTAATCCAGCATGAATTTCAGGCAAGTTAGTTTAAAGTAAAACAAAACTTGCGGCCTAAAATGGGAAAGATTTTTTTTTGCAACTGTACCTTTTTTAGAAGAACACACTCTGAACTTGTAGGAGTAATTGTCAAACTGCACTAAAACAGATGGCATGACAGAATTCGCTGAAGAGTAAGGGAATGTGTGAGAAGGGGGACAGCATCTGTAACTACACAAAAACAAATTCTGAAAGGACTATTAATCAACTCCATTTCAAAGAAAAGATCTGATCTGGAGTTGGGAAGTAGAACGGATTTTCTCCTCATTTTGCACTGCCTTAAGAGAACCACGGGTCCTCCTTTGCAGTCTGAAACAACCAGTTATGACTTTTGTATTAGAAAGGACGCTGTCAGACTAAGTCTTCTAGTTTAGTAAAAAACATATTATGAGCTTGACAACAGCAGACAGCCAGCCAAAGATAGGAGCTCCAGCCCACTGTCACTGCTGCCTATGTTTATGAAGGCAATTACAGGAGCATTCAGGAATTTCATGTGAGATCAGGACTCTCTTGTCCTACATAACATACGAGTTTACTGTCCATCTTGCACAGCTGATTACAGCCCAAAAAGCAGATCTCCTTCTGCTGCACAGGAATCTGAGGCAAAGCAACACACAAAAGCTCAGCTCCAGTCCAACCAGAGAACAATCACCCACTTTTATTTCCAAAGTAAAACAGTTTAAACAGCACTAGCAACTTAATTAACATTTTTACGTTGGGTTAATAACAACAACAAAAAAAAAACAGGAAGGACAAAATCCAGTTTAAACTGAAGGGTACTAGGCTATTTTCTTATGCAGATAAGAACATCTGCATGAGTATAAGTATCCTTTTACAGCTAACAACCAAGTAAGACAGTACATTGATGTCAAAAGGGAAGAGAGAAGCAGGGATTATATTTTCATCTTTGTTTGTACAATCTGCACTGTGAATCTTGGCACTACGGTTAAAATAGATGGGGGTTAGTGGTTGAAAGTGCTCTTTACCTGTCGGAGGTTGACTTCTGCATTCAGCAGCTCTTCTATTGCAGATGATGGCATGGACACATTCTGACGAAGGAAGTCTGAAAATGTCTCATTGTCAATCAGGAAATCCCGAAGTTTCAAGTCTGCAAAGTGACAAAACAAGCAACATTCTGGTCAGAGTAAAGCCCAAAGGAAACTCGTGTGAAAGCTTGGAACAGGAAAAGCAAAGCTGACAAGTAGGGGAGAGGGAATTACATGAACTATAGCACAAAGAGAAAAGAGGAGCTGCTGGCAAAGTGCTCTGACACTTGGCAGCTTTCAGACATGCCAATCCATGATGGCTTGATCTCAAAAAAAAATAAAGAATGGTTAAAACCAACTCCCTTTAACATCATTACTTCAGCTCAATTTGCACATACATGCCTGGAAGCAGCAAGGGCACATCAAGCTGCTCCCCTGATTTGGGTTGAAACCTACTCCAGCAGCATCCTTGCACAGAGTCAGCTTCACTTAATCCCTCTGTTGTTACCGAACACTGAGCTGGTGCATGCACCACTGAGGGATTTACCAGCCCATATTTAACTATGTTAACAGTAGATATATTTTACCATAAATTTCAAAGTCTGACACATGCAGACACAGATGTGATGCAAAATCCACAAGCAGATCTACAAAGTAACCTTAACCACTTGGCAAAAGTTCAGCAGATACTTTTTAAGTAACATTTTCTTTCCAAAAGCTTCACCTTCTGAAGCCATTGGGGTTTCAGCTCTTGGCTTCAAAACAAATTTGTATCTTCATCACAGCAGAGGGGAACCATTTGCAAATTATAACCCACGCACACTATTAAAAGTTCATAAATCTAGAGTTTAAGCAACTGCCCCTCACACTGTTTTGGGCTGTCTTAGTTTTTAAAAGAGAGAGGACAGTTCTATCTTTACTATGCCTAAATAAGCAGTGATGAGGAAAGCAGCTGTGCTAGGAGTTGAGAGAGCAAGTCTCAGAGAATTTACTGGGGTGAAAACTTCCAGACTAAGCCAACCAGGCGTCACTGCTTTTTCCACTCTAGGAAGAGAAGATGCCACAGTCTCTGGCAAACAGTGGAAAACAAGGACCTCTAAAGGGAAAGCAATGCAAGGGAGCTCGAAGAGTTTGTACCTTCTCCTAGAGCGAACAGCTGTACCAGACCCGTTTGGGGTTTTTTTGTGTTTTTCTTTTAACTCTTTCATATTTTTTGCTTAGCTCAGCAGGTGATATGCTCAAGAAATCCCAGCCCTCAGGAAAAAATCACACTGGGCACTCAGGGTGCCACTTCTGCTTCCCATGGCTGAGTTTGGCAGAGCCTGTAGTGACGGGAGGAAGCCACGCGCTCGGTGCTGGCAGCACGAAGCACACAGGGGTTACTCACGGTCATTGCTCCCTCATCTACATATCCAGTTACAAATTCCCTCTTGCCTTTTTGTTCCACACAAGGAAAAAAAAAAAAATCAACCCCCTTCGCTGAGGCGATGGAGAGGTTACTTTGGGACAAGAGTTTCTCCCTCACCTTCCTCTCTCCCTCACCCAGCAGGTCCACTGAGCAATACACAGGGTTTGACCACATCATGCAAACTGCCCACTGGCCCCAGTCACCAAAAACCATCCACTGTCCCTCTCCCAGCCCAGAGTAAAGCTGGGAAAAACAGTCAGATCTTGCAATAACATAAAAACATAATATTCTTTCCAGTAGAGGCTAAAGCACCTTGCTTCCCTGCAAACAGAGAAAAAAACTTCCCCCACTCAGATTCCCTGGTTACTTCCTAAATGCACTAAACTCCCTAAACACTTCTGCAGTTTGTCTGGTTTTTGGTGAGATCAAGTCGAAATTTCAGAAACTCGGATGAACAAAGGGGTAACTGGCTAAAGGCACAGAGATCAGATGTTTGCAAGATTTTTCATTTAATTTTTCATCTGTCCCCATTTAAAACATTTTTCAAGCTCCTCTTAAAGGGTCACATATCTTTTTAAAAAAACTTAACCAAGCAATAGTTCTCCTGTTTTCATGTTTCCCCATTATTGTTTTGTTTTCAGGTTTGCCTAGGATTTTTTTTGCAGGTTTGGTTTGTTTGGTTTTTTGCCACATGGAAACAGGGGATATTCTTGGTTGGGGACATACTCACAGGAAAGCAACCTGTGCTATACCTGGATAGTCTGTAATCACAATATGGAGTAAGAGAGAACCAGCCCAACATTAACAGGACATATCTACTCTGTATTTTTGTCATGCCAATCATTTATAGACTCACTCAGCACTAGAATTTGCTGAAAATCAAAGCTGCCTTTCAAGACACCTCCTACAAACCTCTGGAGCAGTTCTCATCATCATTTGGAGGAAAACATGAAGGGAACAGAATGTAAAGTTATCAGAACAGCTCATGGGACAATGGTGGGCTTCCAGTCAGCTGGTCATGAACCCAAGCTCACTGGACATAACCCTTGGCTGGCCAAGACCACACATGGAAGCTCTATGAGACCAAGGTACTGAATCCCAACACCGTGGTCTCACTGCAGTGCCCTAAGCCAGTCTTTCTTACCATGCCTTTTCTCTCGCACCCCATCTGGTCCTACTTCCAGAACTTGCGGCTGTAAGTCTTATGTAGTCACCCTCAATCACAGAGCCATCCATAAAGACTTGCAAACGAAACCACAGAAAAGCACTAAACATTGCAATCAGCCTAAATTCCCGCCCTGGATATTTCAAGAAGACAAGAGCTAACACGGGTTTCTTCTTGAAACCTGCCATTGTCCTTCAAGACTCCTTGCCCACTAGGGCCTAAGGAAATACAAGAGCATTAGAACTCCTCCAAAAATAGAAAACATAAGCAACAGGCAAATCTTTTTAACACTACTATCAAGCTCACCTAATAACGCAGACATCTGGCATGGAATAACACATTTTACAGTTGGAGACCTACAGCTGCAATATTCTCGTGCCATGAAAGTTCAGACACACCACCAAATTATCTAAAAACTGTGAGGTGAAACATGTCAGCTCAAACAAGATTTAATTCACACATCTTCTCTCACACTGGAGACAGACCAAGAGGGTGCCAGTTAGCTCAGTTGGTTAGAGCGTGGTGCTGATAACACCAAGGTCACGGGTTCGATCCCCGTTCGGTCCCCATGTGCTGCCTGCGCTGCTTGAGAGGTGTCCCTGCCCATGACAGGGAGGTTGGATTAAAATGATCTCTAAGGTCCCTTCCAGCCTAGGCCATTCTATGATTCTATGATTCGTATCAAGCTGGCTGGCACAGAGCAATGCAGCTGCGGCATCCATCCAGCACACTGGAGAGAAGTCTCTCCATGTACTTTTGCTGACACAGGCATTCTTTCCTCTCCCCTTCATCTTCAACCTAAAACCAGGGGAGCCACAGTCCCGCAGGTTGCCCTTACCATGACCACCGCAGGGTACACCCTCCTGGTCAAAACCTCAGGTCCCAGCAACCAAGATAATCCTCAGGCACAAACGTGGAGACGAACTTGAAGTCAAACTGAGCAACCATGCGCATAGACAGTCAGATGTGATGTGAATCACCTCACTGATTCCGTGCTGGGATGAATGTCTGCAGGAGGAATACTGAGGTAGCTAGTGCTCCTGGTAGAGAACTTCTATAGTTTCAGTCCTGACCTCAAGGGAGTAACAGCAGAGAATCTAAACAGAGGCCTTGTTCATAAGCCATGCAAATAACCTTCAGTGCCAGCAGGTCCAGTGGGGCTGAAACACTTTTGTTCTGTCTAGCTTGAGCCCAGGCACTGCAGAGCAATACAGAAGGAGCCAGTCCCCATTCAAAAAACAAGTAGATTTCCCAAGGACAGGGAGAAAGGTACTCCCTATGGGCACACAGGGGTGCCTCCAGCAGAATTAAGAGCTTCTAGAGCTGGACAACTTATGCCTTAACCACAAAAGCACCCTTCCTCTCTGAAGTCACAGGTCAAGATTAGACAATCGCACACGGCAGCACTTCATAAATACTGACTTCATGAAAGGCACAGCCGTCCTTCATTTCCACACATTTCAAAATGACCTCAGGGGCTGCATTCTTGGTATGGAAACCAGAAACTCATGATTTGCAGGTTGTAGATCATCTCCTGCAGGACAGACATACTGCTTTAAATCTTTCTAAGAATTACATTTTCCTGACAGCTCAACTTCTTCCAGCACCTCAATGCCTGAGCAAAGACCTAGGCTGGTTACTCCTTGCTTGAGTATCAAATCATTTTGACAATAGAGAAAAAACACCTACTTAGGGAGCTCAAGACATCCACATGAATTAACAAAGGAAAAAGAATCTCCACACTTCTAGTTCAATCAATCAATCAGTTAAATTGTTCATTAGAAAACATTGCAAGTCAGTGTTATATGGGTTCTCTGTCCATGTAGATCAGAACTGAAGCACTGATTATGCAGTGAAGAAAGCATCCATGGTCCACATGTTCTCCACAGCCAGAGGTATTTTAGCATGCACATTCTAGAGGCACAACCCCACTTACTTTCACAAGTTCAAAAGGTGTCTCAGTGCAAGAAAGTGCAAGAGCAGCCACTCCTGGGAACCATTTTTAATTTGTCGATCTTACTACTAGTATGACCATGACAGGTCTCACAGCAAGCAGTGACCATTTCCAGCAATACTGGGAAGATCCACCAACAAGTGGGACAAAAAAAGCCTGTGGGGACAGGTTACAGAGCAAGACTATTATCAGGTTTCTCCCCCATTCTTTCTTGCTTGATTTGGAAGCACAGAGGGTTCATACCTTCCTCCAGAAACTTAATGATACAGTTTCTTTTAAAATTAAACAGGGTTGAAAAAAAAAAAAAAAACCACGGAAATTGTGGCTATGGTTTTCATATCCTGAATGCTGCCTTCTAAAAATAAAAGGCATTCAAGTGGTATTTCAACATATCTCAATCCACCGTAGAGTACAAAGCTCACCAAGCCTGACTTCAATTTCTGAGTTTTTTGCCCAAAGGGTTTGTGTCCGTGGTCTACAATAAAACAGATTTTCAGCCAGTTTAAAACTAACAAGCTCAGTGAAAACAACGTGACAGTCAGATCTACTATTTGGCATGTGAAGCTCACAAGTATAAAATTCCCTACCAAAAAAA